CTCCTCGAAAGTCCATCCGAGTGAGTCGCGAGTTGGGCGGCCGATGCGGTGCTTTTTTTTGCACAGAGACGCCACAAGCCGCCCGAGCCCAGGAAAGACGTTTGCGAGAGCGCCCTCCGCTGCGCGCCGCAAAAACCACAGGCAGCTCAGCATCCCCCCCCCCCCAAAAAAAATTATCCTTTGTTCCAAACTTCAAAGTCTGAAAACATGAATGAGACTTTTGAGGGTTTTTTTTTTTTTTTAAATTGTGTGAAAGCCGCCCTTTTTTTTTCACTCACACACGCTGAGCGACTGGAAAGCCAACTCGGATTTTTGCTCTTTGGGACTGAATGTGAAAAAAAAAAAAAAATGGAGGAAAGAAACGTTTTGTGTCGCTCGCGTCGACCGGTCCAACGTTCTTCCGATGGCGACTCCGCTCGCGTCGCGTCATCTTGCGGACGGACTTTGTCACGCGACGCGCGCCGGACTCGTTTGTGTCGTTGTGGCGCGTGTTTGCGGGACCGCGGCCGAGGCTGGCGGGCGTGACGTCGGGCAAATACGGATATTATATATTAATAGGAGCACGGCTGTTTTCCCTATGGCGAAAGTGTTAAGTTGTAGAAGAAGGCCTGAGCGCTGCGGGCCGGCCGTCAACGTTCATCGGAAAGATTCTTAATGAATATGAGGACATTTCCAGCAGTCCTTGTTTGGCGCCTCCTCCTTCTCCCTCCCTGTTTTTATTCCACTTGTCACTTCACACCGACAGCCACTAGGTGGCAGTAGAAACAATGACGGTCGATGTGGGTGGTGGGTGGGGGGGAGACAAGGAAGTCGGACGTAGAAACGCCACGATGCTCCGATCAGAAGTCAGCCGGGTGATTCCGGTCCACCGGTCGGCCCGAGCCGCATCCGTCCGTGCCCGCCGACGCGTCTTCTTTTCATATGCGGCCGCTCTGCATCTGCTGCCGAATGCTCTCCAGAAGCTCCCGCATCCTCCCGAGCTGCAGTCGAGGGGCAAAGGGTCAACGCCGAGCCCGCGGCGAGCGCGGGTCGCGTCCGTCCGCCGGCCGGATGCGCTCGCCGCGCCCGCGTCCTCCCTATTCACCGTGCGCTGCCGCGGGATCGCTTGAAGGATTGAAGCATTACGGTTGGCCGCATGGTGAGTTGCGGATATGGGTGGCCGCATCGCTACGGTTTGGGACGGATTGGATTCGCGCTCGTCCACCTCCGGGGGGGCCGGCGGGCAGCCGTTGACCCGGTCGGAGTGCGGCCGACCGGCGTCGCCGGCAACCGCCGGCACGTGGCTCTTGCTGGTTGCGGCTCAGTTGGTAGCGGCGGTCGCCCGGGCGACTCGAGGCTCGGCCGTTGCGATCTTGCCGCCGCTCGACCGGCACGAAAGCACAGCAGCCCCTGGCTGGTTGGTCGCCGCTCTTTTGTTTGGTTTTTTTGGGCAGGCGAGCGAGTCGGTCGCAACTCGATGACGGAATCATTTCACCGAGCGAGTCGCTAAGCGCCCGCCCTGACAGTGGCTCTTTGGCCGTCTCGTCTGACCAAACGGCGACCTCGAGGGAGCGCTCGCGGCCGACGGAGCGCCTCCCCCCCCCTCCCTCGCACACACATCAGCGGGGGCCATGTGTGCTCAAAGTGTGTCACGATCGCGATCCACAGTTGGCCCACTTTGAGCGGGCGGTGTGAGGGGGAGGGGGGGCTCCCTCGTGTTCACACCCACGTTCTCGTCCGCGGCGCTTGTTTGGCGTTCACGAGCGCGCGCGCGCGCCAGCGTGAAAGACCGGGAACGAAGGAATGTGACGGAGGAGACGGCTGCGTGACCCCTCCTCCGATGACGCCTCCGTCCAGCGAGACCAAAAGCAGCACCAAGACCACGTGCCCTCGCCTCGGCGCGCGCGCGCACACAAACACACACTTTGGTGGGGGTTGGGGTTGTCGAGCTCCCCCTTCCCAAACCGACCGAGCTTTTCCACCCAGTTACATAATTGACGTGCGCGTGCACACCGCATTCTGGCGCGTGGAGAGTCACGTGAGCGCGCGCCGTCGACACCAACCGCTTTTGTGTGTGCGCTCGCGCTTTCTGTCTTTCGACTTTTCAAGCAACGTGAACAACTTTTTCTTGTCCTTCTGTCAGTCGCGAAACTGCGATCTTGTCCTAACCCCCGAAACGAAAGAAACGACGTGCAAGCACTTAGATGATCCAAAGTGCAGTTGACTTGTTTCAGTCTTCACTCGACCAAATGTTGCTGGTGCTGTTGGGCCACATAAACTCTCGACCATTCAATTTCCCCCCAAAACAAAACAAAAGAACAACCCCCCACCCCCACGTTTTGATGATTTGATGCCGTACACACCCGACGTTGCTCATCCACGAATGTTGTCTGTTTGGAAAGTCCAAAGTGTTGACTGAGCGAGCCGCAACCTTTGACCCCTCCCGCCGCCTCAAACAACGCAGGCAAACAGATGAGACCCTTTTTCCCTTCACGACACCTGAATTCAAGTGAATTCCCCCCCGCGCTCGCGCACACACACGGACGGGCGGACACTGGGGCGGCTCAGTCGTGCGTAAGGACGTCGTGTGATTGGCACGCGGTTGCGTCAGATGTGGCCGACAGTTCATTGGAGGGATCCCCGCGATGGGGACGTTCCTGAGGTGGCTGCTGTTTCCATGGCAACTCGGGGGATGACACACCGGTTGCCACGCACGCACGCACGCACACGTATTTGCAATCAAGCTGCGGGCGCTCTTCATTTCCCGACGACGTCACATTAAAGCGCTTTCCATTTTGGATCGTTGGGGTGAGCCGAAGTCCGGCCCGGCCGACGCGCACCCGCTCGTGACCGGTCACGAGGCGACGTCGGGGCATGCGTAGACGTGCAACGGACTGGTCGCCAGCCACGTGCGGGGCGCGTACCAACGGGCACTCTCACCCGCGGCCAATTTGGGGGGGGGAGTTAAGGAGAAGGAAGGTAGGAGCCAAGGCTCGCGTGCGCTTTCTGATCGCGCTGCCTGTTGCGAAACGGGCGCTTCATGCGCAAAGATGACATCAGTCCTCGTTTTTGAAAAGCGCCACATCAATCTGATGGCAAATCTGGTTTTTGACCCCCTTTGTAGAGGAGGAGCAATGCAAGGTGACGCCGCCCACGGACCAGAAGGCGGAGTCAGGACGGCCGGAGCCGCTCGCGCCGCGGCCGATCGGAGTCGGCCGGGGGGAGCGGCCTCCCGGCCCCGC